AAGCCGAGGGATTAATGCATGGGCCCGTAAGCTAACAGGTGGTAGGCCCAGCCAAACGAGCCAATAGGTGGCAAGACCAACAGTCTTCATCTTCGGGGGGGGCTGTCTCTCTTTCCCTACCGCCTCGCGGGGGCCTAGACGGGCGTGACCATCACCGAAACCATCCTCCTCCTCCACAGGCTTGATCCTCATCATCCTCCACAGACGTCATCGCCATCATCATCGTGAATAGCAACATCATCATCAACAACAACAGCACCGTCAGCATTCTCATCATCAGCATCATCATCAGCACTATCATCACAATGATAATACATATTACTGCAATGCGCATCGTCATCAGAAGCAGCATGAACATCATCATCATCATCATCATCATCATCATCATCATCATCATCATCATCATCATCATCATCATCATCATCATCATCATCATCATCATAATCATCACCATATTCATGGCCATCCGCAGATGAATCAGCATCATCATCAGCATCATCATCAAACTCATCATCACCATCAACAGCAGCACGTTCATCATCATCCTCACCATCATCAGCATGACCATCATCAGCCTCATCATCATCCGCATCATTGTCGCCATCATCATGATAATCACCATCAGCAGGATCAGCATCATAAACACCAGCAGTATCATCGGGAATCATCATCATGATCATCATCGTTACCAGCAATCATGATCGCGATCATCATCATAATCATCATCATCAGCAGCAGCAGCATCCTCATAGCCATCATCGCTACCCTGATGTTCACACTCCTCATCATGAATCTGATCATCAGAAGCATCATCAGCATCAGTATCATCACAATGAGCGTCACCATCATCATAAAAAACCATCATCATCATAATCCGCATCCGCATCAGCATCCTCATCCTCCTCCTCATCATCATCAGCAGCATCATCACCATCACGATCATCACTAGCATCAGCATCAGCAGCATCATCATCATAACCATCGTCATAGTCAGCATCATCGTCATCATCATCATCACCTTGATCATCATCGTCATCGTCATCGCCATCGCCATCGTCATGGTCATCGTCACCGTCGTCGTTATCATTCTCATCCTCCTGCTGATCGACGTCGTCATCGTCGGTGTGGTCGTCGGCGCCGTTGTCATCTCCCTAACAACCATCACAATCATCATCAGTAGCATCATCAGCATCATCATCATCATCCAATTCATCATCAACATCACCATCATCATCATCATCATCGTCGTCGTCGTCGTCATCATCATCAGCATCTCATCATCATAATCATCATCATCAGCATCATCATCAACATCAGCATCATCAGCATCCTTATCATCATCAGCATCACCATAGTCATCATCATCAGCATCATCATCGTCGTCACCGTCATCATCATCAGCATCAGCATCATCATCGTCGTCATCGTCATCATCATCATCAGCATCCTCATCCTCATTCTCATCGTCATCAACATCAACATCAACATCAGCATCAGCATCAGCATCAGCATCAGCATCATCATCATCATCATCATCATCATCATCATCATCATCATCATCATCACCTGGGGCCTCCTGGGGCTGTGTGGGACCTCTGGGAGCTTCTGGCACTGCTGAAGTTTCGTTGTGTCTTCGGGAGCCTACTTGGGCTTCCCGTGGCCTCCTGGAGCCTCGTGGGGGGGTCCTGGGGCGCTCCGGCGGCCTTCCGGTGACTTCCAGTAGGCCCCCTGGAGCTTCCCAGGGCCTCCTGCACAGTCCTGCGCCTTTCTGGGAGCACCAGGGGGGGTCCTGGAGGAGGAGGAGGAGGAGGAGGAGGAGGAGGAGGAGGAGGAGGAGGAGGAGGAGGAGGACGAGGAGGAGGAGGAGGAGGAGGAGGAGGAGGACCCCTGGGGGCACCAGAGGCCTCCTGATTCTTCCTGTGGCTCCCTGGGGCCTCCTGGGGCCTCCGGGGGCTCGTGGGCCAAGCACGTGCGCGACGACGGGGCCCCGGGGACCCCGCGGATGCCAGGAGCACGTGAAAACACGGGCCAACACACATTGAAGGGGCCCTGAGACACACAAATAAATACACACAAATAAAATAATGCCCCGTATGTCCCTATATTTTCTAAGTTTTTGTCTTCCCCACCACTTCCCATATTTTCCCATATTTTTCTGGGAGTCGCCGATTGATTGTGTCTGTGTGTTTCTTTCCCTCCTGACACATGCGCGGCCCTGCATGTTATACCCCCCGTGGGGCCGTGGACACGTGAAAACAGGTGCCCCGCGCGCGCGCGGCCAGCGTATGTCGGCCCCCCCATGCAGCGCATGCATTTCTACGTGTGTAAAAACATCCGACGCTTCGAAACGGGATGCCCCCCCCTGGGGGAGCCGTGTCGCCAAGAACATGTGCTGAACACCCGCCTTTGTGACCGTGGACGCGTGAACACACATCCCCCCACGCGCACGCGCCAGAGTCCTGTTGCTCCCCTCCCTTGCCGCGCCTTTACTTGTAAAGACACGGCAACATGGCGGCCCCGCTGTCGCCAGTAACAAGCGAGAAAGCACGTGCTCAACCCATGCGCGACGAGACGCATGTTGGAGACCCCCCCTTGCCGCAGACGTGTTCCTACCGTTCAATTCCAACGCCACCTGCTCGACACCTTTTCCGGTACAAGGCCAAGGCCCACACACTAAAAGAGAACCCTGCCCCAGAGCCCTTCACCAGGAAAACAATACAAAACTAATGTTTTTCGTATCAGAATGGGCGCTCGACCTTCGACGCTGAAAAATGCGTTGCACGAATTCGGCGCGGCGCTCATCCTGCGATAAACACCTAAATGTCGCTCTCGCCTCGGCACCACGTTCTCCTTTTCTACTAAAATCAGTTCGCTTGGGCGCGGCGCACATGTTTCGCACGCAATCTCGTCGACGCGCGAATTGACAGAAATTCGTTCCCGCTTCGGCGCCGATCAGATTTCACCTGCACAGGGCACACCCGCCCTCGACACGGCCGCCCTCGCGAGGGCGGCGCGCTGCTGGCTCCCCGAACCGCATGAGCAAAACGACGAGCGCCGCGCAGCAAAACGATCGGGGATGGACAGACCCCCTTTAGTAAAACGTGGTTTAGTGAAAACGACCTGCGGCCCAAACCTGGCGGGCGCAACCCTGGAAAATAACGGCCACGGCGCCCTCTCGAGAACCGAAAACGGACAACTCACTAATCGACGTGTCACTGCTGGGGGTTTTGTCCACCCCCGAAACGAGGGAACGTGGCAGTGCTGCAGCAGCGCGGCGCACGCTCTGTCTCCGCCGCGCCCATCGGCAGCTGTGCCGACCCCGTCCCTGCGCGACCCTCGTGCGCGCTCCCTCCGCCGGGTCGTCGGACGCGGGGGCCGCGCGCGAGCGCCCTTCTGCCTGCGAGGTGGCGGCGCGCGCCGATCCCGGACTCGAGCTGTGCCCCGTGGGATCCGTGCGGTGTGCAAGAGGGGGGGGGGGGGGGGCAGAACGCGAGGCGGGGAGTTCTCCACATCCCCCGCCCAGGAACCGACTCTCTGGTGCCCCGGCGGGCGGTGGATAGAGATGGATGTGTTTGGGCCCCCGGGGGCCCGGTGTGTGTATGTGAATGCCCGCCTCGGATAGGATTGGGAGGGGCCCGCTGACTCGCTCGACCTGGCTAGCTTGACCCGTACTCATGCTCCCCCTCCCCCTCCCCGTCCTCACTGTCAGGCTTCCTCATCCTCCCATTTCTGGTCCTCCATCTCCTCATGCTGCTCCTCCTCCTCCTCCTAGCATACTCCTCGTCACCTGAACCAGTGGGTCCCCTCCACAGATAAACATGCTGGTTGCAGCCCGAACGTCACATCGTTCGTGCCTGTCCGAGTGTCGTACACCTCGTCGCCCGTTTTGCCCCACCCGTCCTTCCCACCGCCAAGGACCCCCGCCCTGGCGTGCGTGGGAACAGGTTTGTCTCTCGTGGGAGTGGTGTCTTACGGAGGTTGACTGGGGCGGCACAGTCAAAGGGCGTGCAGTTATCGAAGCGCGCGAGCGCCCGCCAGTTCGAATATGTCAAAACACGCGACGCGCCAAGGTGCGTGCTGATACAGTCGAGGCGTTGACCTAAGGAACCCTAAATAAGGAACGAGGCCCATATTTTCCATAAGTTGAACTTCGATTTCGTATCGAAAACCAAAAAACAAATCCAAGGCAAGCTGCGAAACAATTAAGGAACACGGAGCCCCTCCCCAACGAAAAGGGTTCCTTCTTCAGGGCCCCGACTGTAGTTTTGTAAGGTGCGGCTCGTCGCATCCCGGGAGAGGGCCCCGGCACTGTGCGCGCGACATGTTTAGCAGTCGTGGAGCGCCAGCAGCACGCGTCTGCGAGGTTGAATTGCGGTTGATTCCTTCTCCCACTCCTCCTCCTCCTCCTCCTCCTCCTCATCCTCCTCCTCCTCCTCCTCCTCCTCCTCCTCTCCTCCTCCTCTCCTCCCTCCTCCTCCTGCTCCTCCTCCTCCTGCTCCTGCTCCTCCTCCTCCTCCTCCTCCTCCTCCTCCTCCTCATCCTCCTCCTCCTCCTCCTCCTCCTCCTCCTCCTCCTCCTCCTCCTTCTCGCCCTCCTCATTGTCTGACGAGGGTATCAGACCCGAAGGGGGTTTGGCAGCGCCGCATGCCTCTTATAGGCCATCAAGGCCACGATATCCCGAGATCGCCCAGGAAAGCCGCAAGACCCGAAAGAGCTCGAACAGGTCCCGACGACAGTACATATAGTCCTCCGAGATGCCTCCGAGGGCGCCAAACAGGCCGAGAGGACCGTAAAACGGCTCAGGGCAGCCCCAAGGTGTCCCAAGGGAGCCATTTTGGCTCAAGGCCATTTTGGCTCAAGGCGCTCACGAAAATGGAGACGCTTGTGCAGTTGGCCGCCGGCTGGGTCTCGCGCGTAGGGCAATCCGCGCGCGTGGCCGCTGCCGGGGGCCGGATGCTGGGCGGCCGTGGCGGCGGGCGTGGGGACAGCGCCCAGCCGCCATGGGGCGCCATCCAGCGGCAGCTGAAGCAGCTGGCGGAGGCGTGCAGGCAGGCGAATCGTCCTGCTGGAGCGGGGCGGCCCTCGCGTTCGCAGGCACGGCAGCCGCCTGGGCAGCACGGTGGCGCGGCTGGCGAGCCCAGGGCTCGCAAGCCGGCTTGGAGCTGCGCGTGCGGGACGGCCGACAACTTCGGCTGGCGAGCTACTTGCCGTGGGTGCGGCCGGCAGGCGCCGCGGACAGAACCTTCGGTGCGGGTGCGCACGGGGGGACGCCAGCGGGCCCGCCGACGCCGGCGCCCTGGGCGAAACCCCCGCGGCCGGCGTCCGCCGAGGCGGGGCAGCCGCCGCAGCCCCAGGCGCCGGATTCAGCCGCAGCCGATGCCCCTCCACTGCAGCCAGCGGCCGGCGCCGCCCTGGAGGGCCTTGCCGGCATCAAGGCTCGCATCGCGGCCATCCGCCCCTTCCCCGAATGGGCGCACGAGGTGGCTCGGCTCGAAGCCGCGGCGGCCGAGCTGCAGGCGGCGGAGCGCGCCGCCCGCCCTCTCGAGCGCCGCTTGCAGTCCGCATTGGACTCGCGGCGGAATCGCGCCGATGCAGCGCGGCTCGCCCAGGAAGCCGCGGCGGCGGCCCGGTCCGCGGCCGAGGAGGCGCAGCGGGCCGCCGAGGCAGCGGACACCCGCGCTGCCCAGGCCATCGCCGAGGCGCAGACCGCGGAGCAGGCGCTGGCCGCGGTGCAGGCGGAGGTTGCCGCTGCAGCCGCTGCAGGCGCGGCGGCGTGCCCGGCCGCCGACGCTGGCGTCGCTGGTCTCGATGGCGCGTTCGCGGCTATCGCCGCCGCCGCCGTGCACAGAGGAGCGGGCGGCCTCGTGCAGGAACTGCGGGCCGTCCTGCTGTCCCCCGGACCCGCGGGCCCTGCCGGTGGTGCGGCGGCGGGCCCGGGCGCCGCCGTCGACTCCGCGGTGCCCGCGGCCGATGGCTCGGCCGCAGCGCGGCCCGCGGCGCGCCGCGGCGGGGCTTGCGGCCGTCGCGGGACCTCCCCAGCCCGCTCCGCGGAGGAGGACGAGGAGAAAGAGGAGGCCGAAGGACGATCTCGTTCCCGGGATCGCGAACCGCCCCTGTTCGCAGCAGCCGGCCCCCTCCCGCCAGGTCAGCGCACGCTGCCGCTGGTACCAGCAGCGGGCTGGGGCAAGCCGGCCGCAGGGGCTGCAGCTGCTGCGGGTGCGGCGTCGTAGCCGGTTTGCTGCAGTTGCTTGTGATGGTGTTGCAGCCGCGTGATTGCCGCCTGCGGAGCCCGTGGTGCGGCGTCCGCGTTGGCGAGGCTCGGCACCCCGGGCCTGAAGACGAGACAGCAGCCAGGCCAGACCCGCCGGCGGCAGCGGAGCCTGCTGCTCCTCTCGCGCCCGGAGCCGCGGCCGCCGACACCGCTGCGGAGCAGGCCGCCGCTCCTCCACCGCCGCCTCCACTCCGCTGTCCATTTTGCAGCGGCTTCTCAGGGACCACGGCGCGCGGCCTAGTGCTGCACATGGCGGCCAGGCATGGCGGGGCCCCCCTTGGAGCTAGCGGGTGCGCCCTGCTCCACGGTCTCAGCCGGGGCATCTGCAGCAGCCCTGGGTGCGGGCACATTCGCCATCAGCAGCAGCGAATGTGCCCACGGTGCAGCTGCACGCAGCCCCCTCGACCGGCCCGCGAGGAGGACAGGGCGCGGGGCAACCGCGGCGCCTTGGAGGCCGCCCAGCCGCTTAGCTGCGCGGCAGTTCGGGGTCGGCGTGCCGGCGGGCACAGACGCCCTCGTCCATTGGCGCATTGTGTTGGAGGAGTTCCTGGAGGAGGGTTCTGGGATGACCGCCCTGTTTGCTTACCACTTGGCTTGGTTACTATCTAGTTGACGCGCTTATATCTGAGATAGCTAACATCTTGCCAAGCAGGTTGTGTATCTAAGTTATGCGGCCGTGCGAACTACTTATTATCCTGGTTATGCTAACCAGCTAACCTACTTAGCGTGGTTAGCTAACCGAGTTAGCTAACCAGCCAACTAGGTTAGCTAACCTCGCTAACCCGAGTTAGCCGCCGCAGGGGGAAGAGAGGGAAGGGTGGGAGGAAAGGGAGGGGGAGGGGGGGAGGAGGAGGGGAGGGGGAGGAGGAGGAGGAGGAGGAGGAGGAGGAGGAGGCCATATTTTACATTTGCATCGCTGAGGTTTCTTCGGCATTGCATGCCGAGGACGAAGAATCCAACCCAACAGTGGCAAAACGAGAACCCAACGTGCCTTCCCAAAATGGGCTCGGCGGATTTTCCCAGCGATGCTGGCGGATTCCCTAGATGGGTTCGGCGGATTTTTCCAGCGAGGCTGGCGGAGTTCCCCAGCGAGTCTTCAGTCTCAAGAAGCAAGAGACGTGCAACAGGCGCGAGCTTCGATCTCCCTCCCTGTGTCATCTTCCCACCTGTCTGCGTGTTACCCCCACGAGCCCCATTTCAGAGTCGCACCTTAAAAGCTGACCTCCGAAGCTCGCCGGGCAAGATAACCTCCGCCAAACCCCCGTCTGAGGCCCCTACAAAGACGCAGCTCCCAAGAAGGCAGCTTGCATCCACCAGCCCAGGTGCGCCAAGCACCTTGCACTCCACATTGAGGGAGCTCCTCTTCACAAGCTCCCAGCGGGACACACACACGATAAAAGCATGTCCCAAACTTGCGTGCGAAAGTACACTTGGCAAAAAAAACCTTGCCGCCAACATGATAAGCAACGGTGTCGTTCATCTGCACGATACGACGGTCGAACCCGAATTTCCTTCGAGGTCAAGACCGTGTCAGAAGGAGCCCAGTGCAGATAAGCCCGAATCGCAGCTGCAAATTTCGCGCTGCCCTGCCGAGGGGACACCAAGCCTGAGTGAACCAATGGGCCCTATTCGATTTCGTAACAATGCTGGACCGTGATCTCTTCCATCAGGCCTGGTATTTGCACGAGGCGTCGTACATATTTTGCATACCTTGTGTTTGCGTTCCATGAGGAACGTGCTCAGTAGGATTCCCTGCTTGCGAAGTTGACCACCAAGATGTATAGCGCTGTGGCTTTTCGGCTTCCACAAACTAAAGCCGCATGCTTGCTGATGCAAGCGCAGGTGGTCAAGGACGCACTCTTCAAGCTGGTCGGGCGCGACGCTTCCATCATTGACAATTTGCAGCAACTCTATCACACCACAAAGTTTTAGCACGCTGGCCACTTCCTTTTGGACCTTGTTGCATCCATCAGCGCGGATGACCACGTCCATCACATATTTTTGGATGACAGGCACTGCGGACAGCCATTCGCTCGCAGCACCCCCTGGCACGCTTTTCTTGCACAAATTTTCGGCATCATCGTAGCCTTGAGGCCAACAAAAATGCTTCAGATACTCGTTAAACGAATCGTTGCCAAGATGCTCGTTGACTTTGCGCAGTCTCCGAAAGAGTTCACGCGTTTCGAGAAGAGGTATCCCATCCACCAAATAGACATGCATTCCCCCCCCCCCCAGACTGAAATCATTGAAAAGGGGACGTCGTCGTCTTGCAAAATGCCACTGGCAACGTAGTTATAGCCAAAAAGTTGTTCCAAGTCTGCCAGGTCCCCTGGGCTATCATTTGCAACCTGTCTCAGCCTAAGTTGGATGCCTCGGATCGAGCTGTCATCGTGAAACTCGTACTTGGCAATGTTGAGTTCAGCGCGGCTCACGAGGTAGCCGTTGTCGCCTGGATACCACGGGCAATCCTTTGACACGCAGTTTGCAGATAGAGCGCAACAGTTGTAGCCTCCCCAACCTTTGCATTCAAATGCGAACTTGTGGGCGCGTCCGTCCTGAACTAATATTTTCAATCACCCAGTCAAAATCCTGGGACATCGCTCCCCAGGCAGCCAGAACTCCACACCCTGTCGAAGGTCACGTCGCATATGTCTACCCCCAAAGAAATACTTGCTGATGACCTTCATGAGATCACTCACACCGCCGTCGAGCTGATCAACTAAACACGCACTCACACATGCAATTGCGAACCAACTGTTTTCGTTGGACAGAGCAGGGAAGCTGAAGTTTCTCAGTGACCAATATATGCACTGTGTCTTACGCATATTTATATGACCAAGAGGATTGCCTGGTGTGGCTTCGTCACTGTAGAGCAGCACCCCGCACCGATTACTGAATATATCAAGGCTTGCTTCCAGAAAAGACTTGAAGTCTGTTGAGCGTTGGCACAACGCCTCTAAGAACGCGAAGGGACGTTGAAGCCATATCTTGACCTTGCCGTTCCCGGTCGGCAGCTCCACCTCTCGAAGCACGGGCCCAAACGATGTCGACACAGATGCAGCTTTCTCCCGTGCCCTCGCAATTGATTGTCGGCTGGCATGTTCAGGTACATCTTCCTCCACTGCCATCCTCAAAACTTTGTTCAAGGCAGATGCAGTGAGGAACGACTCCCTCCCATACTCATGCAGACGGGTTTTCTTTCGCGGCGGTTCTGACATGTCAGTGAGACCTCAGGGGCAAAAGCTTGAGCACATATGGCCACGGGTGGGCGCAATGGTGATCACGGACTGCACTGTAGATGGATGCTTTGGACCAACCACAAAGTTGGCGCGTTGTGTCACTCATTGTCCTGTGTTCCCTCCTCCCCCTCCTGCTTCCCTTGCTTCTCCTCCTCCTCCACCTCCGCCTCGGCCCTGCCTTGTCCCCCTCCTCCTCCTCCTCCTCCTCCTTTTCCTCCTCCACATCATCGCCCCCCTCCCTGCAGTTTCACACCTTTCGAACACAAACCGGCGCAACCCAACTGGAGGCGCGATTGAGATGCCACGTGATTGTCCACGAGCGCGCCATGCGAAGCGCCCCTAGAACCTGCGATCCCGGCCATGCGCGTCAGCCATTAACGCGAGGAGGGACAGCCAATTGCGGCGCTCACTATATACCTATGCCTGGCCTGCAGAGTCGAAGTTGGCATCGGCAATGCTGGATGCCGTGGCCCCTCATCCAATGCAGGAGCGGTGGTGAAAGCTATGCGTACATACACGAGCAGGACTGGGGACGGGATGCAATGAGATGCGCGCGTGCCAGACAAACCCCTATACCGAGCACACGCAAAAGTTCCAGACGATGCCTTTGCATCGCAGTGGCCACGGCGCTATGGCATTGCAACGTCTACTTGCAGAGGCGATCCCAAGTGGCCGCAGCTTCGGCGCATGCCATCTTGGCCGTCTCATTAATCTGAGCTTTACTCAAACCAGCATTCGATGCCCTCTTCTCAGCCCCACGGTAGGCACTCGTCGTAGCACCCCCCCTCGAAGCGCACAATTTCCCGTAAGCCGCCGAGACCAGGTCACTGAGATCCACCAGGACTTTGGGCTTCTTGACACCTGCGGCATACTTGGAAAGAAAATCAAGCCACTCACTAGAACGACCAATACACACACGATGTATGCATACAAAAAAGGAGGCGGGGGTGGAGGAGGAGGAGGAGGGGGGGGAGCAGGAGGAGGAGGAGGAGGAGGAGGAGGAGGGGGGGCAGACCAATCCGATCACACGGCGCTGCTGCTGCAATACAGTATCCCGCGTCAGGTCTCAGCGTGCGTGCGTGTGTATATACATCTATAGATACGCGCGTGTGCGAGCATGCGCAGATATGCTCTTTTGTTATCACCCCCGAAGCTCTCGACCATAATTCCCCAATAGGATCTGGAGCGAAGTCCGCGCTGAAGGGGGCCCCTGGGCCACGGCGCACGCGCC